ATTTTCCCGCAAAAATTTTTTTTTGGCGGGAAAAATTTTTACGGGAAAATTTTACAAGTATTTTAAAGGTTTTACAAGTTTTTACAAGTGTTTTGGCGGGAAAAATTACGGGATCACTTTTCCCGCCAAAAAATATTTGTATTTTATGGACCTAATTTTGTTATATTTCCTTTTATATTTGTGATATCTTTTATTAAAGGAAAGGTAATTTAGTCATTTTGTATATAAAAAAGGGTATTTTTAAAAATGAACAGCTAAATGTGGTATTTTTGAAAAGGGGTATTAAAAAAAGGACATTTTTGTGAGTCTCTCTAAACTTTATTAAAGCTTATTTTTTCGATATAAAATTTAATTTCCACGGTAAATGATTTACCAAAAGAACAAAAACTTTTAGCCATTGCTGATTCTGTGTCATCCATCACACATTGATAAAGGCAAACAAATGATTAGTTAAAAAGATAATACATAATAAAATAAAATGATGCTGCTTTTTTGGTTCACCTACCGAGGAAGATTAGTTATCATATAGTATATATATAAATAACGTTTCATTTTTTTTGTGGTATTTGGAATATTTTTTAAAAAATCATAAAAATCCAATACTTATTTCTAATCAAATATGAAATTATATGCAAAATATAATTTATTTCTAATCAAATAGGAGTAATATATATTTTCAAAATTACACGATTGAACACTACAAAAAACGCGGCGCTTAACGTCGGTCGTTATTGAACTTCACATTGATACTAAACCGACTTAAATCAAATAGCATCAGTTTGAAAACCGTCGTAATAACGCATGACGTTAAGAATTTTGACATCACTTTAACCAATAACGTTTACCTTTTACGTCTAATATTTGACTCGGTTTAAGTAAGTTTAACTACTGTTTTTAGGTGACACAAAAATCAAAATATCATTTTTCACACAACCGATGAAAAATCAAAATCAAAATCTCATTTAGAAGATTTTAAGTCGGTTTATATTGTAACGTTTATAAACCGACGTGTACAAGCGTTTATCTTGTAGCGAACTATATATTATTTTACATTGACTATATGCAATTAAAATAACAATTCAATGGATTCAAACCTATGTAACGTATTACGTATGTCGGTATGTGATACTATATAGCTTGAAACAATCCTTTCACTAACAACCGTCAACTAAATATTTTCATGGGAGACTCACAAAAATGCCCCTTTTTCAATACCCCTTTTCAAAAATGCCCCCTTTGGATGTCCATTTTTAAAAATACCCCTTTTATGTACAAAATGACTAAATTACCCTTCTTTTAATAAAAGATATCATAAATATATAAGGAAATATAACAAAATTAGGTCCACAAAATACAAAATATTTTTTGGCGGGAAAAGTGATCCCCTAATTTTTCCCGCCAAAACACTTGTAAAAATTTGTAAAACCTTTAAAATACCTTGTAAATTTTCCCGTAAATTTTTTCCCGCCAAAAATTTTCCCGCCAAAAATTTTTTAGCGTGCAAAGTGAGACCGCAAATTTTTAGTCGTAAAGTTTATGGTGTGAGAATATATGGCGGCAAAATCTACAAGGTATTTTAAAGG